CTCTCTCTCTCTCTCTCTCTCTCTCTCTCTCTCTCTCTCTCTCTCGTGTTAGTTCTTAGTCTCATTGATTTGGCTACCTTAGGGCTGCGTTCCCCGCGCCCACGCGGTAGACAATTATGCTTATGCTCAAGAACTCGGCAGGCAAAATTGGGTATGCCAATAATTTGCCCGGGTTTGTGCACAATTTGAGCATCCCGGTAGTTGTGTATGACCTGCAATTCGGAGGTACCAATCTGTGCCCACCTCGTTCCTGGGCATGCAAATAATTTGCACACACCGGGCACTACCACTGGATATATCGGGTATTCCCATCTGTACATGGGGCACAGATGCAATTTTCCCTTTGTGTTGCTTTACGTTCGACTGTGCAGGGTGCACTTACTTGCACACTTGCATTCCCTTGACGACGTTCCCGGTGCTCTCTCTCTCTATCGTTGGTTGGTAGGCGCCATCCATGAGACTTCTTCCCTTTCCTGTTTTCTGTTTTTGTCACTCCAAGGGTGATTCGAACTCGTGCTCTGTGTATTAACAGTTACATGTTACTACCACATGTGCGTATCATTCGGTGCATACATGAGAGTCGTGACCAAGGGAGTTGAGGTGGAAGGGCGCTGCTATCATCGACAGAGAGAGCGAGCTTGTGACTTGTTGCTGCCATCGTCCGTCCTCATCGCCACACAGCAGCGCGGCATCATCGACAGGGCGGACGGATGTCAGATCCTGCGACGGGGTTCGTTCGCATTCTGTACTCCATGACTGAAGTGGGAGACCCTCTCTGGCAAGGAGATGAGATGGATCCCCATGGTCGGGGGGAGGGCGCATCATCGAGGGGAGGGGCGGAGGAGCGGGGCGCCATCGTCGGAGACAGGACGGCAAGGCGACTTGTGCTGTTAGCGTGGACGTGTCCTCCCTTGACCAGTGATCGTCAGCTCCACCCTCTAGGCCGCGGTTGTTGTCTTCCCGTCTAACGTGGTGTCGGACTTCCCCCGAGCACAGCGCACCTACTTCTTCCCCCGAATACAACGCACGGTCATTATAGCTGTATTTACTATTTAGACTGAAACGTATGCCCACTACAGCTATAATGATCGTACATTGTATTCGGGGGAAGAAGGTAGTGCCTAAATACCACAAGTGCCGACTTCCCCCGACCGCAACGCACCTCGATCATTATGACTGTCTGCAAACACAGCCTATCTTTCTAGGCCTATACAGCCATAATTAGTGGGCGTTGTGTTCGAGCGAAGCCGCTAGCGCGCCCACACACGTCGTACGTCAGTATCAGGTGTGCTTGCTGACCACGGCGTTCAAGCGCACCCGTCAGACTCGTTCTTCAGTCCTCCTTAGAGCGCATGAGTTGGATCGCTGATCGTCAGCTATTCGTTAGTTGAGGGCACACTAACCATTCTCGAATGACTCTGGTCGTAGTTGAAGCAAGATTCCGTGGTAGAAAGTCCCAAGTGTGGGACTGTCCTGAGTCAGTCCTGAGCAGCAATTGCAGTTAGTTACTTAGTTCGTTAGCTGGTAGCTGGTAGCTGGTAGCTGGTACTTAGTCGCTGGCTTACCTTGTATAGCTGGCACCTACCGTAGTCGCTCACTTACCTGGCTGGTACTTGGTCTCTGACTGACCTTGTATAGTTATCTTGTATAGCTGGCACTTAGTTAGTCGCTCACTTACCTGGCTGGTGCTTAGTCTCTGACTTACCTTGAATAGATGGCACTTTCAGTCTCTGACTTACCTTGTATAGATGGTACTCAGTTAGTCGCTCACTTGCCTGGCTGGTACTTCGTCTCTGGCTTACCTCTGGTATAGATGGTCCTGAGTTGATTACTTACCCGTGGGATTGCAGATTTCTTTCTAGTTGTATTCATCTCATTTGTCAGGATTCGAACTCGTGGTCTGCTTACTGACAGTCTAACAGTTACACGTATATACCATTCCATTGACCCACATAACTAAATGATTGCTTCCTTGCGCCTCCCAGTGGAGCGCAGTTTTGTCCACCATATGTCAGTCCTCTTCTAACGCGTATCTGGTCGCAATTGACTGCATCATGATGATAGCACAAAGTCAGGTCGACTGCAGATGAGGAGTGTAGATCGCAAGCTCGCCAACAGCTTCTGCCATTAATTGCCAGGATCACTGCTCGCTTCTGTTCCCCCCTCCCCCCCTCCCCCCCTGGCACCCACTGGTGGCCATTTGTGATGACGATCATCTCTCCCCAGCGCGGGTGACCCCTACCTCGACCCCTCTAACGTATAAATTGAATACAGTAATATTCGTCGTTTTTCCACCGCCGGTCTTTTGACTTCACAACGTGCTGGTCTGACCATTCTGTTCTGCAGCTGTGCTATTCTTCCATCGCTGATAGCACAGTGACTCTGATGTGCGCAAGGCTTCGTGACTGCCGTGCCGGACCTTCATCATTTCTCTCCCGAACGTTACTTCGTCCTGCAGTTCAGTTCTGGCATTCCTAGCCGAGGTTCGTGCTGCCATTTCACATGAAGGACAAGTTCACACCTCTACTTTGTCGACTGAATTCTGAATTTGAGCGCAGTTTCGGTCAAATGCTTACTTACAGTAAAGCTCCTGCTGTGAGTACTTCCTAAGGTCAAGTCAGGTCCGCTACCTCACCGCAGCACACAGACAAGGGAGACACTTTTGGCAGTGGCTGGCCGAAAAGAGAGTATAAGACAGGAAAACGAGACGAAGAGGGAACAAGGAGGAGAAGAGAGAGGAGGAAGAGGAGGAAGAGGAGGAAGAGGAGGAAGAGAAGGAAGGTAGGAGAATATGCCGCCTCCAGATCCCAGAAACAAGAAGAAGAAGAAGAAAAACGGCCCAACCAGAGCTCAAGGTACTTGGCAGTCTTCAGACGTCGCTGTTTTCTCCATTCTTTCTCTTCTCCTTTGCTCATCCACCCTTTATCCACCCGCCGCTTCCCCCCCATCCCCCTCCCAGCAAAACCCTTCTCCTGAGGACCTTCCCCTACAGGCCACTTCGTCGCAGTACTCAACATGTGCCAAGGGCGCGAAAAGCTGAGAATAGCCCGAACTTCTTCCTACGAATCCTCCTCCCCAGGTAGTGCGGTTAGCAAATAGAGTAAAGACTCCCGCAGTGAGAGTTTTTCTGAGTGAGTCCGGTCACCGCTGACAAGCCCCTCCTCTCTGCCAATCAACCCTCCAGCTCGTCATTTCTGATTCTTTGTTTCATTAGCAATTTCATCGGCTTACGGACTTAGCCAATTCAGTCGTGCAGGCGCGCGCGCGCGCGTGTGTGTGTG